CTTTAGGAATTTGTACAAAGCCAAGCTTAATGATATAAGTGCAAAGATATCCAGGTTATGAAGAGGAAAGAGGATCAGTGGGAGTTATGCTGGACACAAGAAGGTGTAGGAGCAGGTTTGAAACTCAAAGACAAGGGAAAGGAGAGTTTGTTGGCTTGTAGTGTATTCTCACCTCTTGACTTCATCAAAATATTGTTTAGTTCATTGATGATTTAGTGAGGTTAAATTTTGGATTCACTGAATGTCAACAAGACAGATCAAAAAATCTTAGATGCTTTCTTTCAACGAGATAAGATGCAAGAAAATCAAGTTATTAACAAACATCAAGATAAACTAGTGTCATGACTCCACAATTAGATAGTCTAGTTCTTGAAATTTCAAAAGTACATTCCTCAAGATAAACAGACAAATGCACTTATATACCTTCTTCGATGGCAATGTAGGTGCCAATGCACTTATATACCTTCTTCGATGGGCAATGTAGGTGCCAAATTACCTCCAAAAAAGGTAGAAAACAGTAAGAACATGAGCAGGAAAAACTCTATCTTGTGATTTTCCGATCTGAAGAAGAGGGAGAAACTAGAATAAATCCTAAACACACCCCATTTTGAGAAAGATGGTCTAATTTGACCAAAAAGAATAAATTCAAAAGAGATCACACTTTTTGTGTTTTTGACATGCGAAGCTTCGTTAATTAAGACATTATATATTTCCTTGCATCCCAAACGACTGTATATCTTTTCTTTGGCAACTTTGATTTGCCTTAAGGAAATGTTTGGATGCTGAAATACATGCTCTTAGATGCTCATGACTTGTCACATAGAGCATTTTTTGTGCAAAAATGTATGTTCTTTTTGCATTTCTTCTAGTTTTCTTTTGCATTTTATTTAGATTTTTTTTGTGTTAACCTCGACCAATTATTTGATTGTTTCTTTTGCATTTTGTTTAGATTTTTTTTCGTGTTAACCTCGACCAACTATTTGATTGTTCCTTTTTGCATTTCTTCTAGTTTTCATTTGCATTTTATTTAGAATTTTATGTGAAAAATGGAAACTGTTGATTGTCAGAAACACTCATCTACCATTTTTTATGTTTTATGGTACATATAAAATTTTCTCATTTTTTTACTCATTAAATATACATCTAATTTTTGTGGTGATAATGATAAGTATTTTTCAGCGCAGATGAAATCTATTGATTTGATGGAAAATGTAGGTATAATAGCTCCTTTAAACACAAAAAGAAAGGATAGCAAAAGAGAAAGCCTTATTATACGATTGAATAAGTCGAAAACTAAAGTAATTGATGCTCTAAAGCTATCTTTCCACTATGACGAAAGCTCATTGCTGCTTTAGATAGCCTAATTGTTGATAAAAATTATTTATTAATTATATGTTCAGATATTTCTATTGATTCTATATGGTTTGTATCGTAAAAATGTAATAAAAATAAACATGTGAGAACATATACTTTTTTTTGGTCGGCATGTCAGATCACATACATGTATCCATATTATTATGTACTTCTTGTGAAAGTATTAAACCACTTAGGTAATTTCTTTGAGGTTACTACTAATGAAGAATAATATTAATTTATTAATTTGGTCATATGGTAAATGCTGGTAAAAGTAAAGTTGAATGACCATGAGTCCACTGAATTTTGGATCCTATCTTCAATTATGGAACCAATGGAAAACTTCATAGTATCCCAAATTTTGTTATGTACTCCTACTGGTGAAATATCAATGGAACAAAGAATAAGTTGCAAGAAAACTTTCAATATGTTCTATGTTTTTTTCTAATCGATTATTTGATCTGGTCAAGTGAAATTTAATTTATTCTGTATCTAGCTTACTAAATAATCATATGAGATATCCATTCAAAATATCTTTGAATTTTCATAGATACGATGAATTAAAAATCGTTTTTCTTTTTAACAAATCAAATTTCTATACGTACTTACAAGCCGCTGGATTTATCCAAGAGCTAGATCCACTGCACACCATCAACATAACAACCTGAAAATTTGAGAATTCATATACTACAACGTCCTAGAGACAATACATAAATTCGACTAAGATAATCCGACATAAACGACCAACGACCGATCTACAAACTACAAACCTACGACCTATGAAGTCATCTTCATACGGTTTTTGATATTAATTTATTGTAATTCTGAGCGGTTATTAACAAAAATTCATTGATTAAACTAATGTTTTTTCCATCATTTCGTAATACTGCCCACATATAAACCAATTAAATTAGGTAATCTAAAATTAATTTATTGTAATTCTGAGATAATTTGCTGGAAGTCTAAAATCTGGTCAAAACTAGGTAAACGGGAAAAACAGTAAATTGATGTGACATTGGTCTGACATTTTGAAGGTGTTATGACTCTTTACCCATTCCTTTTGTTACAAGTTTTTCTTTTCCGTATAGAATTTCTCTCTCATCGTCTTTTTTTCGTTAACATATAAGTTATACAATTACATACATTGTTATCATACTACATACTTTGTTAGCATGATAAATGTTATGATATCTTGTTAACACTAAACTTATATGAATAAAAATTATGTTATCTTGCTAACACTAAATTTGTATTCGCTAATACTTTATTTATCATTTCGAATATACTATTTTTATCCGCTAACAATTTATTTATCACCTCTAACATAATATTTGTATTTGCTAATATGTTATGTTTTTTAATACATTGATACTTAGCTAGAGCTACGATGTTAGCTAGAGCTACGATGTTGGTAAAAAATATGTTACATTGATAACAATAATGAATTATCTATATTGTTATAGATGTTATTTTTGAAGTTAGTGCGCTACAAATACATATAACATTCTAGATGTAATGTTAGCATTCTAACAATAAAATTACAAGAGGAAACAAACAAACCCTCTTCATCAATTTTCGACGGTTATCTGTATGGGCGGCGGTCCGAAGACGTTTCCCGGCGGTGTATCAAAGTGGCAGTGGAAGAAAATGCAGGCAAAAAAACAGAAACAATTCTTCAAGGCGCGTCTATCCCATATATCGCGTGAACGTCATATTTACGAGATGCGGAAACAAGCCGAGCTCAAGGCGGTGGTGGCTAAGCTTGAGCGGCCATGAGAGCCGGTTCAGAAGACACTAAATCTATTTTCCATATGTGCCAATGAGCAAGTCAAGGTCCTCGCGGACCGATTTCAGAAACCCAGCGGATTCGATCTATGCACTGATTGGAATGGTCCGGAGCTGTTTGAGGCCGTCGATGAAAATCTAAATAGGTACGTATTGAAATGATTGAGGAAGAGAGACAACAACAAATTGTTCATCGCTTCAAATTGTAGTGAGGAAGAGAAAGAAATAGGTGAGAGAGAAAAAGAGATAGGTGATAAAGAGAGTTAGAGAGATGGGTATATAGAGGTAATAGTGTATTAATAAAAAATGTACAGTACATTTTCCTACTTTCATAATTATGAATAGTATTGAGGTTATCTCATACATTTACTTTAAAATTTACTTAAACAGATATATAATTGTAGAGACTAAGATCATCTCCAACTCTACTCCAAATTTGACTTCAAAATAGAGTTTGAACTTTGAAGTAAAATTCTCTCCAACTCTATTCCATTTTGAGCAGGAAATAAAATTATTCTATTTTTTAGTCATCACTCCATTTGAAATTAAAAAATAGAGTAGAATTGGAGTAAAACACAATTTCATTTTGAAGATATCCATTTTAGATATGAAACTATACATTGGAGATATCCTTAATGAAAAGAGGTTTTGAAATACTCTTGGAATGCATAAAACTTCTAGTTCAAAATTTATAAACATTTCTTTGAGATGTTCTTAGGAGATCAGAAATCAAAACTAAAATTGATTTTCAATAGCTGAAATTTCTGTTATGCAGTTCTTTATCTTCGTCGATGTTATCCTTTCAGGTTCTTTGTGTCAGTGTCGCTTTTAGATAACGGTTCAAAGTCCATTCATGATCAAACATTGGAGCTAGCAAGAACCTAGTTGGTACGAAGCAAATTGGTAGGAAATCGAGAAGAAGAAAGGCTCCAAAGATCATAGTTGCGACAGATCAAAGGTCTCTTGTTTTCAACTGAATGAGGAACTTTGGGTTTTGAGTATTATGAATCTAAATAGATTAATTTAGCATTTTTTTTTTGTTCTTGTTACTCAGAGAATCAAATTCAGGCCAGCCACCGGAGTCGTCAAGAAGCTTTTCACCTTTACCGTATAAGACTTCAAGTTATTCGGTTAAATGATTATTTGTGATTTGTGATATCGAAACCTTTTCTAATCACCATTCAAGTGTGTTTGGTATTCGTTTCTAAATAAAATTACTTTAGTTCGTATTTACTATTAAGCAAGCACAATTGATGAAAAGTATAATTAATGATAACTTTGTAAATCAAAATAGTTTCACATTCGCTTTTAAAAACTAGTTCATATAATGCTTACGGTCTCCTCTATCGAAAGTCGAGGTGGGACAAACAAAAAAATGCATGAAGTGTGACGCAATAAGAAAAATGCATAAAGAGTGACGCAATAGGAAGAGTAATTGTTTGTTAATAAAAAAAAGAGGAAAAAATGGTTTTGTTAATCTTAACCTCATCTATATTTATCCAATATTTTGGAAAATTCTTTTATCTAGGAAATGGTAATAAATGTATATATTGTTGTGAAAACTTAGAAACTTTATTAATCACTGGAATGTATATATAGAGTACATAGGGAATCTAGGTTAAGTACAATGTCCTGATGGGCCTAATGGGCCGGTATAAGAGTCCATATATGATATGTGTTATAATATATATATATATATATTATTTTTTTTTGGTAAAATGAAATGTATATATATTTAAGGGTAACTATTGTCAAAATTACTATTAGTGTGTATCTAAAATATATTTGAACTATTGTATTATATATATTCGTTGCCCGATTAACGGTAAAGTCTAACGTATTTTAAAACACTCATCGCTATCGGTGTATGGCACGGCTTCTCATCTTTCATACACATACATACGTACGTATATTACCTAGCTCACGTCTATGTCGTGACTCGTGGATAGATATTTGCACACACATAGTTCAATTCAAAGCATCACATCTACAAGAAAATGGCTTCTCTCGTGTTAACATTTTCACTTCTCTTAGCAACTTTCTCTTCTCCTCTTGTAGAGGCTGCTTATAGCAATGGTTACACCCTCCCCACGGCATCACTGAATCCAATAGATTCTTGCAGGCGAAGAAACCCTAATTGGGCGTCTAACCGTCAAGCCCTAGCCCATTGCGCGGTAGGGTTTGGGAAATCCACGATAGGTGGCAAACAAGGGCGAATCTACGTGGTTACAAGCCCATCAGATAGCCCTGGAAGCCCTAAACCTGGAACCCTAAGATATGGGGTGATCCAACCTACACCGTTATGGATCACATTCGCAAGTGACATGGTCATAGTGTTGCAAAGGGTGCTCATGGTGAGCAGCTACAAGACCATCGACGGGAGAGGAGCAAGAGTGGAAATTAGGAACGGGCCGTGCATAATGATCCATCGTGCGAGCCATGTTATTATACATGGGATAAGTATCCATGATTGTAAAAAGGAGAAAGGAGGGGATGGTGACGCAATCACCGTGTTTCAGTCTTCACATATTTGGATCGATCATTGTTATTTATCTCGATGTCAGGATGGTTTGATCGATGTGATACATTCTTCTACGGCGGTTACTATTTCTAATAATTACTTCACACAGCACGACAAAGTAGAGTATTTATAGTTTTATACATAACTGTAACTTTAAAAAACGTATCAAAGATTTTGAATATATTGATGACTATGTTATTACGTAGGTGGTGTTGCTCGGACATGATGACAGTTATGTGGACGATAAGAAAATGAGGGTTACAGTTGCATTTAACTATTTTGGACCTGGTCTCATTGAGAGAATGCCTAGGTATCTATGTAAATATATATTTAAACTAATCCGTATGATATATCTAATATATATATATATATTTATATATATATATAATCTTCAATCTTCGGAACTTAGTTTTATCGATGATCTTTAGCTAGTGGTAGTCCTTGCACCAATTTTGGTTGCTTCGATGTTTTTATTTTCTTTAGCATGGGACCGAGTCCTCAGTTTATGCAATATGTATGACTTAAACGTTCTTTTGAATAAAATTAACATTTTCTTAATATATATACATTTTTAAAAATTAATCTAACTAAATAAGATTAAAAGATTTTGAAATAGAAATATATATGGGTTGGTGACGTGGTACGTAGGATAAGGAGAGGGTATGTGCATGTAGCAAACAATTGGTACGAGAAATGGCAAATGTATGCGATCGGAGGAAGTGCTGATCCAATTATCTTTAGTGAAGGCAACTACTTCGTTGCTTCTAAAAATCCTGCCACAAAACAGGTATGTATATATCTTCATTTTGAATGATCATAAAAAGCTTTAGTGAGTAAACTATAAATAATATCATCTCATTTTTAAAATATAACACGCGAGTCAAAATCATTATCAATTGGTTTTGAGTCAAAAGAATGCATGATTATTCTACCTGAGCTTTAGTAATCCAATTTGCAAAAAACGGATATATATATATATATATATATATCTTCATTTTGAATGATCATATAAGCTTTAGTGAGTAAACTATAATATCATCTTAATTTTACAATATAACATGAGACCTAACATATTGTATGATGCAAATTTGGGTGAATATTACCAATTGGTTTTGAGTGGCTATGTATTTATAGGTGACGAAGAGAATGGGAGTTGGATATGATTTTAAGAAATGGAAATGGAGTACGTCTAAAGACGTTTTCTTTAACGGAGCTTTCTTTATTCCGTCCGGTGTAGCCGTCAGGCCTCCGTACAAATTGGGAGAGTCGTTTCCGGTGTCCCACGGCTCTCTCGTCCCTTCTCTTGTTTACTCCGCCGGTCCTCTTCGTTGCGTCCCCGGCAAGATTTGCTAATCGTGCAATTACTCTCATTTATATATTCATGCGATATCATGTTTTTTTTTTGTTTAAAGGCATTATGCGATTTAATGAATCATCAACATTACAGGAAAGAAGAATTTACCGAATAAGTTATCGTGGGTGAAGTTCATCTCCTACCACTATACATGCAATCAGTGGCGGATTAAAAAAAAAAAAAGTAGTAGGGTTTATAAATAAGAAAAACAAATTTTAGTTGGAGTCACTTTTTATATTTTAACACTAAATTAAAAATATTTTAATTTAATATATCTAAATTATTTAAGAAAAATTAAAAAATAGTAGGGGGACATGACCCTATAAGGTAGCTCCGCCCCTGCATGCAATTTGTTGTATAGAATAAGAGACAAAATCGATTACGTTAGTTATTTTTGGTATCTACTTATTTGTAAAAATTAATTTGTTCAGAAATTTAATGAGTTTTTCATGATTTTGTCTTCATGAAAAAATCAATCTGCCATTGCTCAAGCCATCCTGAAACTTGACTTACTCCTCCTAACCTGACCAATGGTTAAAAGTTTTGATAGTGACTATTCTATCAACATTTGGCTACTTGACCAATGATCAAAACTTGTTTACTTTAGCTTAGAAACTCAATGGTGAACATGTTGCAATTATAAATTTCAAAATTTGTGAAGAATTGAAGTATCAGCATTTTACTACTATAGTTTTTAAATAATACAATGGATGATTCTTCGCCTCCACGAACAATGCTTCTTAGATATCTCGACTGAATCCGACGCGGTCGAGTATTTGACACGAGGGTAGAACTATGCTTGTTCTGATGCCGTTTTGTTGCGTTTGGTTTGGGAGTTTCCGGTTCTTGAATTATGCTTAAAAGCTTGTCTTCTTTTCCTCGGTGCTTCCGACTCAACCAACTCCTTCAGTTTCTCCAGAGCTGAAATTCATCATAACCAGAGTCCATAAATCAAAGAATCAATGGCCTTGAATGGTTTTGCTTTTACAGCTTCATATGCCAATTTGACAGACTTCCATAAAAGTATAAAACTCTAATGTTGATAGCGCGTTAAATCTAAAATCCGCATGTCACAAAACCATGGTCTTTAGAAGGTTTAAACTTTAAATTCTAAGCCATAGTGCAGAATATCAATTCAGTTCCACATAACAACCCTATTTTTCATGTCTTATTGTGGATTGTGTATCCTAGAGCTGTATACAGAAGGCTAGGAAATTACCGGGTGCATAAGTGGCACGGACAGAATCAAATGAAGTGGGTGGGATTGGATAGATAGGGCATGAAGCATTCCCAACTTTCTTCAGGAGCTTTGAAAAACGCCTCACCTGAAATTTATGTATATCCAAATGAACAGGTGAAGCTAGACTCAAGAGCTTAATCATAACAAAAATGAGCAGATAATCAGATAAGAGAATTCCCAGCAAGTGTCCTATTCAAATTCTTCTAAGAGATTAAGGTTCAGTGAGATACACACAAGATTCTTTAAATGTAACTTCTTCCCCTTATTCAGACACACTTATTTACCTATTATTTCTCATCATTTGAGGTACCTCTAGCTTGTGCTTACACACAATTGGACAAGCACAGAAAGAAGATAAGAATGTTTGTGTGTGTGTGGAGTATATAGATTTACTTTACCTCATGATTACTCAGTAATGTGAAGCACCGTCCGGACTGGCCTGCTCTAGCTGTCCGTCCAGCGCGATGGATGAAGGTCTTTGCAAATGGAGGCATATCATAATTAATGACATTTGTTACCCCTTTAACATCCATTCCACGAGTTAAAGCATCAGATGCAACAAGTACTTGAATATCGCCTTTTCTAAAGGCCTTTAGTTCTTTACTGCATGCAAAAGTTTTGTTCAACCAAATGAGCAAATTTCGTTTGTTATGGGTTCCAAGGACAGTACACGGTGCTGTTACTACTATTATAACATTCAAATATTACCTCCGAAGTGATTGGTTAAGACCACCTGAATACTCTTTTGCTTTTATCTTTGGGTCACCGAAAAAGTTGAGTAACTTGCATAGACGACGAGTTGTCTCTACAGAAGATGTGAAAATAATACACTTTTCACCTTCCCATGATTTTAATAGAGCAACTAAATATACAGGCTTCATCCCGGTCTCACAAATCTGTTGAAAGACATGGTAAGCAAAATGTGGAGATAAGCTTTCGCAGATAAATACTACATTAAAGCACAAAGTTGAAGAGAAAAGACATATTAAGGACGCATACATACCAGTCTAAGACATTCCAGCTTCTCCGGTAGTCTATATCGGCTTACTCCAGTTGTCATGAATAACGGGTGATGCAGGTCAAGCTGAATTAGCTTGCTTGGATCTTGTGTCAATGTAGCTGATAAAACCATCTTCACCAGCCTCGGGTATGGTTTACCCTTGAAACCTCTCTCCACACTCCTAAAAATTTGAAGTACGCATCACATTAGTCACTTTGATCAGTTTTGACTTAAGCTTTTAACATAATTCGATTATTATGTGACTAGTATTAGTATAACAAAAGAAATATGCTAGAGAGATGGAACTCACTGTCTACGAATAGTCTGCAGAGAACCAAAAGTGGAAGGAACAAATGGTGTAGATGAAGGAAACAGGCCATTTTCAGATGTCTGAGTCAGTTTCAGAACAGTTGGTAACCAAGATTGATATGCCTCCCTGAGCAATCTGTCGGTCTCATCAACAACCTGAAACAATTAGCAGCTTCATCAAACAAATTTGAAACTAAAACCGAGGTAAACTAATAAGGGAAATTTCGGGTGTTCTTCATACAAGGTAACGCAAATGCTCAAGCGTAAAGCCCTTGGTGTTGTTGATATGGTCCATCAGCCTTCCTGGTGTTGCTACTAATATATCCACAGCACTTTCAAGGTTTTGTGATAGATCTTCGGGATCATAGCATATTCCTGCATCAAGTCTAGGTGTCTTGATGAGCTGTGCGATTTCACCAGCTATGGAAGATTGACCAACAGCTGAACCAACAGATAATCCCACGGCTGGGGCAATAGCATCAAACACATCCTTAACCTAAAGATAGGAATGTCACAAAAGGAAGATCATATGTTTGCGAGTTGCTGCGTATTACCAAAAACACAGAAGTGGGAAAATTCTATTCTTGATTTTGACTGAGGAGGAAACTACCTGCAAGGCTAAATCACGAGTGGGCAATACGACTAAAGCACGGAGGCATGTAACTGCACGAGATGAAAGGATCTGCACAATTGGTAAAGCGTAAGACAAAGTCTTTCCACTTCCTGTTGGAGAGTTAACACAGAGGTCTCTCTCGAAACCACCTGGCCCTATTGTCTCATGCCAAACTGCAAATTGCACCGGAAAAAGTGAAGATATACCCATCTTCCCCAATGCCTTGTTCAACCTAACGCACCAAATGATGCAAAAACAGTTCTTTACTCATCTGAATATCGTAAAGGATGATAAAAATCCAGAACACAGAACAAATTTGGACGGTCTTACTCAATCGTATGCTATCTTACATAATCTTTACACAATGCAATACTAACAAGGAACTGTTTTGTGCAAGCCAGACAAGTTATATATGTTTGTTGTTACCTGGGATCAAGGAAAGGAAGGGTTTCAAGAGGGCAGTTTTCGACATTGCTGACGTCAACCGGAGCTCTCATCCATGGAACAACTGAATTCGTCTCTCTCTCCGCTGGATTCTCTTCATCTCTCCCCATACTCGCTTAAGCGTTTTGTTTCTCTGAAGAATCTCTCCGGCGATGACTAGCAGAGGAGAGCTCAAAGTTGTGACGGTGAGTGAGAAGGTCAGAGAGAGAAGCTTGTCTCTGGACAAACCCAGATACAAGAAATCAGCAGCTTCGTGATTTTTAACGAGTAAAGTAGGTATTGAACGAAGAGAGCTCTAATCAGAATCTAATCAGAATTCCAGAGGAAGAGAGCTCGCCGGAAAATTGAAAGAAGAGAACTAAAACGAAGTCGTTTTAAACAAAATCAAAAACCCTAGGTAAATATTTTTTTTTTTGTCTATGTTTGGCTAACCAATTTGACTCTGATTCGTTTGAAGAAGGTTTATGATAAGATTTGAGACTGGTACAATCTAAACCGAGAGGAACTCAAATTTCGACACTATAAACGTTTTGTAATACGGGTTTGACAAGGAAATAATGATTTAGATGCATCAACTAAGTGTTTGACATTGCAAGATGCATGACTTAATATCAATGACAACTTGAAACGATACCTGGTAACATGCATTCACTTTGTCACGAGGATCCATGTAAACGTGGACCTGAATAAGGGAGAAGAGATTGTTACTTCACAAGACATGACTATTGTTACTTCACAAGACATGACCTGAAAGCCTGGTTGCTTTCGCCAAATTGTCCAAGTTTCTTCCACCAATTTGAAGAACGATGGGATACTGGTCCTAAACAAGTATCAATAGATTACCAGGTCTCCTTTATTGCCTTCCTCTCATCTATTTTCTCAGCAACTTTATCAGCCATCCTCTCTTTACGTCTAATCACAGTAGAAGAACTCATCTTTGGCATTCTCAGAATTCGTCGCAAGTCATAGCTGAAACTGGTTAAAGTACTGAGTTCAACGGAATTCAGTTGATTTTCGCACAGAGTTGAAACCAGAATCACTATGTGCCCAACTTCTACCAAACTAAGAAACATCCCTTCAAAACCTATATATGCCGTCATTACTATGACGTTTTGAGGCGGATTACCCTGTTTAAGTCATTCCTCTACCAAAGCTCTGATGTGCTTATCGGCAACTTGGTTATTTTTTGTATCAACCTTCGGTCCTGAAAAAAAAAAAGAAGGAAATAATATAATTCATCTGTTATTGAAAGAGAAACAAAATGAAAAGAACCTTTTTTTTGGGTCAAAGAAAAAGAACTTACTATCAATCTCTTTGCCAACATTTTTCACATTTTTCAAGCTGTTTTGATAACCTACCACAATCTGTGACGTTAGTGGGCCTGTGAAACATCTCTTTCTCAGGCTATTTACGATGCGTGGATAAGCTATTCCTTCATCAGGAAAATCATGAGGTAGTGGGGTGTTTTCGTAATCCCAGATCAGGTACGTTAGGCGTTATCCTCTAATCTTCAGCAAACAAAAATAAGTTTTTTTCGGTGGGGGAAATTTTATTAAAACTTAAAAACTTCAAACATAAACACTTCGAACAAAATCAACACCTCGAGCATCATCCGCCAGAATCGAAGCAACACAACTCGGCGGTGACTCTAACAAACTAAACCCAAACGAAAGAGTAAATGCATAGTTTGCTAATCCGTTAGCCAGACGATTAGCCTCCCTATACACATGAGTGATACGGACTATCCAGTCCCTAGAGAAGAAGCCATGGCACAGACAGACGTACCAGGAAAGACAAGGGATGTTCGTTGCTAATCCCTGTCTTTAGAAAGCCCACCACAATCTCTGAGTCCACCTCCAGCTCCACTCGAGTAGCTCGTCTGTGCCAGGCGATATATAGACCGTAGTATACTCCCCACAGCTCTGCCATCAGCGCTGAACAGACCCCAATATTAAAAGCAAACCCCACTTGCCAATTCCCCTCTACATCTCGCAATACGCCCCCCGCGCTAGCTCTCCCCGGGTTCCCTCGCGATGCTCCATCAGTATTCAACTTTAACCAACCCTCATCCGGAACTCTCCAAGCTATCCTACGGTCCACTCTTGTTCCACCGCCTTGGCCCGCTCGTTGTTTTGAGTGAGCATCCAACACCTCCTTTGCTAACTCCTTAATAAATTTCACTCGGTCTCGGCATTTCGCATTTGTGCTAAAGACATTCCCGCATCGCCATTTCCACCCCCACCACAAAGCCATGCAAAACACAGTAGACCAACCCTCAATATCCTCGGTCCCCTCCACAAGATTTCCATACACCCATTCCAGTAGTGTGGCCGAGAAAAAACGTTGGTGTTTGTTTACCGGAACCACTCTAAACCAGATACCCTCCATTGCCGGGCAATCGCGTAGTATGTGAATGATGGATTCTTCTCCCCCCTGCATACCTGACATGTTGATGAAGCTCCCAGGTGCCTACGGTACCTCTCCAAATCCGTCATTATAGCCTGATTACCCACTAACCACAAGAAGACTTTAACTCTTTCCGGCGCTACCACCTTCCAAATCCTCCTCCAGAAGCACTCCATGTTCGGCTTCTCAACATCATCTTTCGTTATCAATGAATAGGCTGAGGCAACAGAGAATTTTCCATTTGTATTACCCCCCCAAGACATACGATCTCGAGCTCCAGTGACATTATCAAGCACCAATGCGTTGAGTCTCAATTTTGTATCCTCCGACACATATGGCGCAATTTTTTCCCATAACCAGCCGACACCCTCTTGCCACAAATCTTTCACCATCTCGTCCGCTCTTTCCTCGGGGATTACTACACTTTCTTGATTTATTAAACTGTCCTCTATTAGCCACCTGTCCTTCCAGAATCTTACATCGCTTCCATCTCCTAAGACCCACCTTTGGCCCCTAAGAACCACATCTCGGATCCCATGTACCACACTCCTCCATGTAGAGGACCAGTTACACTTCGGTGTAATCCAGCTCAGAACCCTCATGTCCCCGACCTTATACTTGCTGCGTAGGACTCGTGCCCATAAGCTCTCGTTATCATGCAATAATCTCCATCCCACTTTTGAGATCAGAGCCTTATTCATATCCTTTGCCTTTCGGATACCCAAACCCCCTTCATCCTTCGGTAAGCACACCTTCCTCCACGCTATAAGGTGCTGTTTTCGTTTCCCGAGTGCTTCCCCAGAGAAACGAACGCGAGACTTTATCCAGCTCCTCCAATAAACCCGCAGGCATACATATCACACTCATCGTATGAACCGATACTGAGGACAATACCGCCTTCGTAAGAGTAATTCAACCCGCAAGGCTCAGAGATCTTCCTTTCCAACCAGTTAATTTAGAAGACACTCTCTGTAATACTTCTCCAAACGTTGATTTATTCAACCTTTTCTGTAGTATGGGCATCCCAAGGTATTTGCCCAAATTCGTCGTTCGCCTGGATCCC